CCCCCCGCTGCCGGCGGCGGCCCGGGGCCAGGCCGGCTGGCCGGGGCCCGGCCGGTGCGGCGAGCCGGCGGGCTGAGGCACTGAAGAGGCTCCTGGAAGTCTTTGGCATGGAAGACCCTCCGGCCCCCCCGGCTCACTTCAAGCAGCCGCCCCAGTACATGGTGGATCTATTCAACACTGTCGCCAATGCAGACGGTGTCACCAAGAACCCCGACATCCTGGAGGGCAACACGGTCCGCAGCTTCTTGGATAAAAGTAAGGGCGGGGGGGCCCTGCGGTGCTGGGGACGGGGCTGCGGGAAGGGGCCAAGCACGGCCGGTGGAGGTGCCGCCCCCGCTTTGGCTCTGCTTCTCAACCCGTCCTTCCCTTCAGCTCACGGCGAGAAGATGCGGTTCCTCTTCGTCCTCTCCAGCGTGGCCAAGAATGAGAAGATCCTGACGGCGGAGCTGCACCTCTTCCGCCTCTGGCCAAGGGCCACTGATGGGCCCAAAAGGCACCACTTCTGCCAGGTGAGGAGGGGGACGGGGACGGGGATGGGATGGGGATGGGGATGGGATGAGGATGGGGACAAGATGGGCATGGGGGTGGGGACAGGATGGGGATGGGGACAGGGATGCGCCCCAGCCTGCGCCCGGGGATGCCACTGGCACGCTGCGGTCACTCGCCTGCAACGCGGTCACGGCCCGGCTCTGTAAAATTCATGCAACCGAATGTTGCCATGTGTGCATGCGCCAGCCAAGGCACCCGCAGGTTGTGACAAATCCAAGCTGACGATGCCCCCATCTCCCACCTTTTTTTTCCCCAATACCGATGTCCGGGGTCGTTCCCCTCGGGCAGGGTGCGCTGACGGTAACCGCCCTTTGCTGCCTTCCCCAGGTCAGCGTCTACCAAGTGCTGGAGCAGAGCGAGCCGGATGGCCCCGGAGGGAAGAAGCTGCTGGCAGCCAGGCTCGTCCCGCTGCAGGGCTCGGGCTGGGAGGTCTTTGCCATCACGCAGGCCGTGAGTTGCTTTTCCTGGTTGGGGTGGCACAGAGAGAACCCTGGGGATTTGTGTGCAAGAGCTTTTTTGAACCCATTTCACCCCCAGCAGCCTTTCGGGCTCCGATGCAATTTCCTATCTGTAGTCTCGGCAGCAACATGGGGGCTACGGCCCCTGGGGGGTGGGAGACCTGCCAAGAGCCCCCGGGGGCTGCTCCCTCCTGCCCCAGACCTGTCCCGCTGCTCTGCAGGTAGCACGGGTGCTGGCTGCTGCCACGATGTCCCCTGCGCTGCAGCCCCGGAGCAGCACAGCCCCTTCCCACGGCTGGGAGATGGAGTGCGGCCATGGAGGGTCTCAGCTCATGCCGCCCCACTGCTGACCGGGCACCGGGTCTGCTGGCCTGGCACCTGCCGTGGGGACACCAGCGTGGTGCCTGTCCCGGCTGCGGCACCGAGGTGACACCGGTTTCGTTCCCCAGGTTCGCGACTGGACTGAAGACGAAAGCAGCAACCGGGGTTTGCTGGTGACGGTCCAGGGCCTGGGCGGGAGCACGCTTGACCCCCCGCCACTGCAGTTCGCGTCCGGCAGGGACCACCACGAGAGCAAGAAGCCCATGCTGGTCCTGTTCACGGACGACGGGCGCCGGGGAGCCTCCCTGCCCATGGCCGGCTTCCCAGGTGGGTCCCGCATGCCCTGGCACAGCTCCCTCAGTGCCGCTCTCCCCTGGCCCGTGGGGCGCTGGGCTGCTCCCCGCACGTGGGCTCCTTCAAATCCAAAGCTCCTTCTCCGGCCAGAGGGAGAGGCCATCTCCTTTCGGGTTTAGGCTGTGCAGGGGTGCAGGCTCGCAGATGTAAATCTAGATTTTGCTTGCCCTGATAAGTGGAGCGGTGGGGCTGCGAGGTTGTCACCTCCTGGTGGCTCTGCCTGGGCTGGTGACAGGCTGTGACCGAAGGGCTCACTGCACCAGAAGGCTGCAGACAGAACCGCGGGGAGGGGTGGCCGGGGAGGGGCTGCACCATGCTCGCCCTCCTCCCGGGCTCCTGCGATGGGTAACGGCATCGGGTGCTCCTTTCTGGCAGATCTACCGCCTCAGGCTCCCCTTCTCCCTGCCAAGATGTCGGTGCCCAAGCTGACCGGGCCGCGCAGCACGCGCTCACTGGACCGGCTCCAGCCCTGCCAGAGGCATCCCTTGTCCGTGGACTTCGAGGAGATCGGCTGGTCCGGCTGGATCATCTCGCCGCGGGGGTACAACGCCTACCACTGCAAGGGCTCCTGCCCCTTCCCGCTGGGCGAGAACATGCGGCCGACAAACCACGCCACCGTGCAGTCCATCATCAACGCCCTCAAGCTGAGCGAGGGCGTCAGCAGCCCCTGCTGCGTGCCCGACAAGCTCTACTCCATCAACCTCCTCTACTTTGACGATGATGAGAACGTGGTCCTCAAGCAGTACGACGACATGGTGGCCGGGAGCTGCGGCTGCCACTGAGGCGGGAGGAGCAGGAAGGTGGAAACGCCGCCATGGCGGAGGCTGCTCCCGCTCCCTCCAAAGCATCTCTGCGGGGGTCTCTGGCCCACAAAACCCTCTAGAAGAGACCAGGGCGAGCAAAGCAAGGGGGTGCCTGGCTCTGCCCCAGGCGGCGGCGCCCCCCAGTAGTGCCCGGGAAGGCTCAGGGCCGAGCTCTGATTAATTCAACCTGAATGAAGCGGCGCGACTCGGCAGCCCCGGGGCAACAGCTCCATTTCAGGGTGCCCTGCAGGGGGGTGCAGGTTGCCTTGCCCGTGCAGAGGCTGCCCGCAGGCTGTACTATATGTATATAGCAAGAGCACTAATATATGCCAGGAACCGCCTGTAAATGTCTGTACATTTCTGCATTGTTGTGATTTGTAAAATGAATTCAGAGGAACTATTAAAGGTGCCGTTCTCCGAGGAGCTGCTTGTGGGAACCGCTGCCTGGACGGGGCGAGCAGGCATGCTGTGGGCACGGCGGGAGATGCAAGCAGCCAGATGACGGTGCAGGCGCAGTGCAGTCTCCCGAGGAGGTTCAGTTGCTGAGCCCCATTCCTTGGAAGCCAAATGATCTCGGGATCCATCAGCCCACCCGCGACGGCAGCGGGGAGGGGATCCCCAAGCAGGGGATGGGGACATGTGGGGGGAATGCGGTGACGGGGGGAGGTAGAGGTGCCCGGAGGTGACGCTGCCAGGGTGGGGAAGCACGGCTCTGGGTGAAGGTGGCCAGAGGAGGCTGCCCGTGCCCAGAGAAAAGGTTCCTCGTGGAAGAGAAATGGGGTGGAAAACAGCGGTGACCGATGTTGTGGGGTCGGGTCGGCGCTGGGGCGGCGTACAGAGGGCGGGTGTCAGTGTGGGTACTGGGGAGCGGGTGCAGGTGCCGGGGGCAGGGCAGGGGTCCCCGTCTCGCTCCCACTGGCGCCGCCCCCTTGGCCTGGCAGCCCAGGACTCAGCAGGAGCGTGGTTGTCCCCGCCAGAGGCCGCAGCCCCTCCAAGCCTCTTTCCAACAGTTTCCAACAGCAGCGGCTTAACCGCGGCCCCAGGCTGACACCAGGACCGCCCCCCCCCAGCAGCTCTTCAGCTCCAAACCCAGGTGCAAGGGGCCAAATCCCACCCTGGCCTGGTGGGCACCAGTTTCCTCCCACCACTCACCTGAACGCAGCACCAGCAGCTGTCGGCCCTTCCCCACCACTGCCTGCCCTGCAGCCTGGGCTCCCTCTCCCCATCCCACCCAGGGGAAGGGTGAATCCCCCTGGGAGCCTGTTGACTAGATACGGTCCCACACCAGCGGGCAAATCCTTCCCCTGTGCCCCACAGACATGTCCCCACTGGGTCACTGCCACTGGGTGTGAACAGAGGGCAGAGCCAACCGGTGCAGCCTGGGCACATGCAGACGTCCTG